CGCCCTCACACACACACACACACACACACACACACACACACACACACACACACACACACACACACACACACACACACGCACGCACACACGCACGCACATACGCACACACGCACATACTCTTTCTACACACATTTACTCACCCAACTCTCCACCAACTGCCCAAAACTCAAAGCACAAACAGTGCACACGAACTGCCAACACACAAGCAAAAACTTTCCTCGCCGTGAGGGGCTTCAGGCACACTAGTGGAAGTGAAGCAGCAACGCAGCCCACTTGCCTGTTGCTAGGAAACGCAGGGTAGCCAGCAGAAGCTGAGGTGATATTTTAACCTTGGTTTCATTGTCGGTAGGCTTGAAGGCCGAGAAATCTTGCTTCCTGTCGCGATGGGTGATTTTCTTCTTCGTCTTGTTGTCAGCTGCAGACAGAAAGTGACAGTTGATGAGATGACACACACGATCAGACTTCTACCACGCAAAGAAGTCAGTCCACCATGTGACTCCATGGATGGATATAGTTGTACCAGGTCACAGGGTGACTAAACTTGAGTTACCCAAACTTCATTGCCTTTTCTGGAAACATAGCTGCGGTGTCTTTCTCAGAACTAAAAGAGAACTATAGGGGGCTACGTTGTTGGTTTACCACATTCTTAGCATTACTTCAAGCCATATGTATTGGACCAACAAATAAGCAGGCCCAACCCCCAATTATACAAACAATATGTAATTACTCAGAATATTTTTCATAGTACTGACACATGTAATAGTGTTAAAAGTTGAATATAGTTAAGTTCTGATGTACAGGACATATAAAGCATGTTTTTTAATGTGCAACAAACGTTCTTGAGGAGAAAAAGCATGAATTGGAAAGTGCATATATTATTGTTTTGTTTGTTCGGTTTTTTTTTTTGGGGTTTAAATCAGGGGTGTCAAACATAGGGCCCTCGGGCCGGAACCGGACCCCAAGGAGGTGTGATCAGGCCCGCAGGATCATTTAAAAGTGAAAAAATACATAAAAGACACGGAATGAATATTTTTAATAAGGTGCAATTCGTGGAGTATCCGCTAGGGGACACACTGTTTTGATCAGAGGACAAGACAACATTGTTTTGATCAGAGAAGAAGACAACAGCAGCCTCAATCTGTCACCGAGACAGACCCAACATAGCAGACACTATCAAGGACATGTGAATATTTTATTCTTTTCACATTTAATAGCACTCTCCTTAGTTTGTAAAGTGTAGGCAGGGATTAAATTTTGATTTTATATGCACGTGTGTAAATGGTTTAAAAATTCCTTTCTTTATAAATCTCGTTTAATCTTAAAGTGCATTACTATATTTTTCAATACCAATTACTTGTTCTAGTTTTGTGCCTTTGTACAATCAGTCAGATCAGTTGCTATGCACATACTGTATGTGAATGATAAAAATAAATTGCACATTTGTCGAAGGCAATCTAAGGTGCTTCATGAAATGTTTTGTAAAAGCTATGTTCATTAAATTTCAACATTTTCCTAATGTTCTTGTGCTTCTTTATACCAAAACAAAGGAAAGACATTGTTTTGGTTATTTATAGCAAAGTATGGTATCATTTTAATGGTCCGGCCCACTTGACATCTACCGAGGCCGTATGTGGCCCACAATGTGAAATGAGTTTGACACCCCTGATTTAAATGAAAAGAAAAAAAGAAAAAAGAAAAAAAAGGATCATCTTGTGCCGTGTGTTAAGTGCTGCCCAGAAAGTGCTTTACAAAGTGTACTGTACCTTGATTGTAAATTTGGGCTTGAATCCCTCACAAAGCATTTTTGTTGGGTCTTTGGGGGGGAGGGGGGGGTGCCATTGCATTCAATTCAAGTTAAAATACCGAAAAGCTACAAGGCGACCAGATGTTTGCTTAACAATGTGGCTCACATACACTGAATGATTACAGTATTTTAAAATTATAATTACTGAGACTGCAATATGTATGTAACATGCTTCCTGTCAATGTCTGTGTCAGCGCACACCCGGGCGGGGGGCAGTAGGCCATCCGCTTATTAACTCAGAGCACAGTTGACGTGCTGTCAACGGGAATCTTAACGAGGAACACCGTCAACGTCAATTGCTGTCAAGTTAAAAATAAATAAATAAAAGGAAAAAAGGAGACATTTGATCTTTTTTGGATGAACTCACTGTGTATCACAACAATGTGTAAGGTCCCAAAACTGTGTGGTCCCTTGGAAACGTGACTGTTAAAAGCAGCTTGTGATTGAAGTGTTTATCATATTATATCCACTACGGAGAGCGTTGCCGGCAAAATCGCAGTTCCGACGTCACTTAGTCCCATAGACCAAAATCTAAAGGGCAAGATTGATCTGAATCCTCACTGTTTCTGAAGGGAGGGCAAAGAGACCCCTGCTTCTGATGAGGATGATGTGGGGGTAGAAGAGCCAGATCCAGAGCCAGTTTTCGCCAGTGGGGCTTTTTTTTTTTTTTTACTCCTCCAAGAGGACCCAGTGGTACGGCTTCTTGCCTAAACTCTTCTTGCTGGCTGCAGTTATCATCGAAGAATCATCTTGAAGCCTGAACTGTTTTACATCACCATTTCATTTGTATTCTAGATATTTCAAGATCCAAGTCCCGTTCAGACATGAGAAAATTCCCCAGGACTCAGCATTGAACAAGGAGGAGGTCATTCAACTGCTCCTGGTACAGAAACAATTCTCGTCTTGAATGCCCAATCCTTCATGACTCTTCCTACTGCTTTGCATGTGGACATGTTCCCCTGCCTAATGGACCAGACTCTGCCATTGCATCACAGTCGGGCTTCTGCAACTGAAAAAAGGGATTGTATTTGGTCGACTCAAAGTCAGAGCAACGTATCAATGCAATGTATGCATGGAGTCAGCGTAAAACGGCAACCGAGATGAACACAAACGTGTTAAATTCTATAAACGTGAATTGACGGAAGAAAGTGAAAAAAAAAATCGACATCATGTGAAAACAATGCCAAAAAGTCATCGAGAGTCTGAGGATGTTGAAGAACAAGGGGAACTTTTTAGCCACATTGAATGAAATAGCAAAACATGACAAATTCATTGAAAAAAGAAGTGAATGCGTGTACCAATGCAAAATACATGTCACCAAATCCAAAATGAAATTCTCCAGAGCTTGGCTGAGATGGTACAGAGTAAAATCCTACAATAAGTGAAACAAAACCAAGTGTTTAGTGTGCACGCAGATGAAAAAGTAAGAAAAACAAGTAGCCTTCATGCAGCAGGTCTCAGTAAGATGACTATCACGTCTTTAAAGAGACTTTACCGAAGTAAAGGTGCTCTTGTGCGTAGGGGCTGATTTTTAAAAATCTTTTCATATCACCAGAGTAGCGAGGTGGGAGGAGGTAGAAATATTTGGGGGAAATGCGGCGATGCTCTTTGATCTCCTGATTTTATGGAGCTGTCTCCTAAAGATGGTGTCACATTGTCGCGGATAATAAATGTACCGTCTACGTGACTGAATTACAATTATAACCACAAATGTCAACTTATGCTTCATGTTTCAAGTGGGTTTGACGTAAAATATAAAGACTGTTACTCAAAACAAGTTTGCAGATTCACGGACCATGTCAGTTGTCTCCTGAGCAGTCTTGACTCGCCCACGCACAGCGCATATTGGGCTTTTGATGACATTTAGGTTGAATGTGTACAAATGAGTGCTCATACTGGAGATGCATTGTGCATATATCCGATTTGTATCCACATACAAAAGACGCCAACGTCGGTTTTGTAAAAAATCGTAATGGTGCTGTTCACATTGCATGGAAAAAAAAAAATCTGATAGGTGTCATATATGGGCAAAAAATGGGATTGAGATGGGATTGAGCTGCAGGGTGAACACTGTCCTAGAACCATCATTACCTTCTGAACAATAATTGCCAATAGTTATCTAGATAATAACTCATGTCAGTAAAATGATTTGATTTTCAAAATGAAATTCAGTGAGGTATGCCTTAACCGTCCTTGAACAAGTAACATATGACAAAGTGCAAAAAGATTAAAACAGACTAGACACATAATGTTACCAAATTAAAGCAAGTCTAATTGATTAAACTATCAGGACATGTATAACTTGACCTTTGCAAAAGTGTTCCACGCAGTCTACTGGATGCAATGACAGTGTTCAGGAGAGTGCAGGTGTTACCTTTGAGTGACATGAATAAATTATTAAAATAAAATAGCAACTCATCACTGGATTTGGAAAGGTGAGCAATACCGAACAGTTGGGCTTTCTATTCCATTACATACTGATAAACACATCATGCACATGTTCTATGACCCTTCTGTGGGAAAAATCATAACAAGGCATGCTTTATCACTGCTAGTACTTTTGATTGTGAATCCTATGTGGGTTTTATTATTACTCATGGCAATGTGATCCATTTTGATGCAAATACGCTGATTACATTGTTGCCTTGTGATATATTTTACAAAGTACATTGTGTTGTAATACTTGGACCAAGCTATACCGTGATTTAGATATCACTTAACTGTTTGGACCTTGACTACGGTTAATCTGGTATGAACTTTAAGAGGGCAACCTACTGTACAAGTCTGTCTCGTCCAGGATCTCTGACTTGATGATTTCCTCAATAATGTCCTCCAGGGTGACAATACCGAGAACCTCGTAGAAAGGGTCTCCCTCACCCTCATTGTTGACCCTCTGAACTATGGCCAGATGGGATTTTCCTATTAAATCATACATGCACACACAGACACACAAACACAAAGGCAAGTTATAAAGTTAGGGTCATATTATCTTTGTTCGTGAAATACAGGTCAAGCAGTGGTGGTGTTAGCGGTAGTGGTGTTCAGTTGGGAATTGTGGAGAGAGAGGGGTAGGGTGGGGGTGGGGGGGGGCTTCAAAGGGAACAAGCAAACTGGATTTTTTTCAGTCATTTTGACACGTGTCAGATAGGCATATGATGAAATGCGACAACTGAAAATTGTACAATTACCGGAACCCGACAAAAAAGGCTGGTGCGACAGCACGGAGTCTGTCCCCGAACCTATTCACACAAGGTGACCAAAACTACAACAGACAAAAAGGTCATGCTTCTTGTGTCATCAGCTTCCGTTTCGTCTCTCTGTGTCTGTCTCTTCCTCACACATGCACACTTGCACTTTCCCCTCCAAAGTGATGAAGCCAGAAGTGAAATGAAATGAGGTGGCCAGAGTAAGCCATAATTATAAAGGGATGACAACAGAGCATGCATGCATGCTTAGGGTTAGGATTACCTTAACCCTTTCATGGACCAATAATGATAACCTGTAACCTGATAACATGATAGGTCATCCACTGTAGTGACCGCTGTCCCACAAAGGGTTAACCCTAATTGCTTAAAATAAATAAATACATTGAAAAAAATCTGTGATAAACAAATGCAATATTTAAGTAGCAACTTCCCCTCAAATATATGAAAAACAAGAAAAGATATTTCCATGGATCTGGATTCAGGAACTATTTTATTAAGTACTCCAGGAACACCTTTTCAGAATCAGAATCAGACTTATTGGCCAAGTATGTAAAACACACAATTTAATTCCCCTATACACATACATATATACCTGTATATATACACAGTATATATATATATATATATATATATATA